GTAATTGGCCACGCTGAGTCCAATGGCGACGTTGGGTTTTAGTTTCGAAGTCATCTGAAGCTGCTAGGCCAGGAATTCCAAATTTTATTTTTTTGTTACCCACACTATTGAGTGGCATTATAAAAGAATACTGACCTAGCAGCTTCTAATGACTTCAAAACTAAAACCCAACGTCGCCATTGGACTCAGCGTGGCCAATTACCCCTGTTCTGACCCATATTAGCTTGGTCGGAGTTCGCTTGACTGATATCGGGGGTTCCAGGAAAGCGCTTATGACTGTTAAATGGAACATTGTAGAGAGCTGGGCTTTGCACAGGTCGAAAGAGTACAATTTTCTCTATTGAATGGCTATATTGCAAATCAGTATCAAAATGAAAATCGCTTTGGAATATCGATCACAAAAGTTTCATCTAGAACTTACCTGATCGGATAATAGCTGACCAATCAAATTTCGAATATATTTCGATGTCCCCCGGTGTCTTCTCTCGAATGGCGAAAACCGCAGGTCTCTATAATGTACCTACGAAAAGTTATTCAAAAAATAGTGAGACGCATTATATTTTGAAACGGACAGTAGTTACTTTACTTTAGTTACGTAAATAAAAAGTAAATTAAATATGCCACCCCTACACACCACACCCCAAACCCACACCACGTACCCACACATACTCACACCCACACTCACAGCAACATCCCACGCCCACGCCCAGACCCATATCCACCTCCACCCAAATTCACACCCATCCACACACTCACGCCTACACCCAGACCCAAATTCATTCACATCCATACTCATCACATATCCACCTACACCCAAATCCATATCAATACTTCACACCATACTCACACCAACACCTCACGTAAAGATTGAAAGTTTGTATTCTCTTCAATACTCGGTAAATAACACTCGAAACTATGATATTCGTAACAGTTCTTTACTTCATTTATTCTAAATTATATTCCACTGCTCTTCCTAAAACCATGCAAGTCTTAGTTGTAAAGAAAACCCTTCTCTGTCTTCAGCGCCAATGGTTAATACCAGATTGGTGCCTTATGTACCAACGATAGTCATCTCCTGGATCTGAACTATTCAAATACCAGTCAAGATGTATTGCCATGTAGGGTGCGTAAGTTCTGATCGTTCCATCATGTAAAGGCACGAATGCTGTTGTCCTTCTTCTCATTGCAAAAGTTGTATCGATTGGTTGAATGGCCAGGTGATAAGAATTTCCTTTCCAAGTTGCCATAGATGGTACAGATCTCCAGAACTTTGATTCATGGGTAATAACTTTCTGTTTCATCCGATAATAGTCTGGGATATTCGTTATTTGAAGCGCAGGACCCACGACATTAACCCCTGGACAAGTCTCAAGTACTCCAGCAAAAAACAGCATGATGTCAGGAGCAGAAATATTAAGACCAATGTCAGGATCTGTGACTACATAGTACTTGAAATCAGGGTGAAATGCTAAGTACTGCTGAATGTAACTACGTATGTCCTTTATGACTTCCGACCAAGCCGAAGAACGAATATGAAAAATGGTAACGCCACGATGCTTTAATTCGTCAAGATAGGCCACCATGGGTGGATACGTAGAATTATGGTCACAAATAATTAAATGCCATGGAGTAGAAAGTCTTTTGTATGAACTAATGGCGCGACGTAGGCTATTTACTCTATCTCTAGTTATAATAAAAATTGGAAACTGGAGATTGGAAGCCACTTTTCCTTCCCGACCTACACAATATTTTAAATCACTCGTAAGAGAAAACATCTCCAAACTACGGTATGGCCAAAATATTTTGAAACGATGTTCCCGACGAATTAGTACCACGAAGGTCATACCCAATGTGATGAGCAAGAAAGCCGCCCAAATCATGATCTTTTCTGTTGACATCGCCGATTTCCGTTGTTGTAATTAGGACGTTCAACAATTTCTGGAAATAAACACATTACAAGGATGTACGTGCAAAAAAAGCATATAGTTCTAAAAGTATTACAGTAAAAATTGAAAGTGTAGCTGTGGGATAGGTCTCGGGGTGGAGTGTAGGTGTGACGGTGTGTAGCTGTGGGAGTCAGCCTTGGTCTCTCCTAACGTAATATATCGACACCCACGCTCCACACATTGCCACCCACAGACAGTGCTGGTAACAGTAGTAATGGGAGAAATCTTTTTTCTTGGAAAGAAATGGCTCACAGCTTGTCCGTAGGTAACGCACTCACGCTTTCTCAACTTTCAATCCACTTTTTTCTGGAATGATAAAGAATGGAACCTTGAAATTTGGAGTACATGTGCATCTTAGAAGACTCTTTAACATGCGTAAGTTTCATACGAATTGAATTTTAGATTCAATTTTTATAGTAAAAATACATGTCGGTAACGCATTCACATAAAAGGCCCAACGTCTGTAGGGTGATGTTAAAACTCAATAAATTCCTGTGAATATTTAAAATATGAGTGCACTAAGTATAGTGCAATTTATAGATAACAGTTAGGGCTATCTGTGTCACAAAAAGTTTCGAAACTCTTTGTGTTGCTGAGAAGTTATAATTTAACTATTAAAGTAACGCACTCATGTTTCGCTGTCTGATCATCTGTTCCTGAGTACCTACTACTTTATATTATAAGTTCTAGGCCAGAGAAAGTTTTGTTTTTTTGAATTTTCGAACTATTACGACTCTTTACGTTGAAATGTAAATAGATTCTACTATATCTCTTAGGGATACTCAATAGAACCCGTTAGAAAAAGAATATCCTTCACATAGTATATAATATCTTTTGAGACATGTATAGAATACAATAAGAAACTCCATACTACTCTTCTGGCTCTCTGAAGATAAGAGTGAGGTCTTTACTTTAAATTTTTGAGCCGAATTTCTCACATTAAAGAACAGGTTGATCTGAATTTTGACTATATGATAACTCAGGAATTACGCTTTATCTGAATGACCATAATCAATCCCTAAATCGAAATACTCAAATGGGGATTTTGATTTGGGGATTTTTCGACATGAAATATATCATACGTCCTATAGTTCAATACCATTCTTTTTGTCTTCCAGGACCGTATTACCAAAACTAAAACTTTTGAAGTCATATCTGTTAGAGGTGTTCTGTTTGGGTTAGCTAAACATAATAAAAATAGTTTTCCCATGAATCTGGTGACCAGAATGTATCTTGCTTTACTATAAAGTTCTCTTTTTTGGCAGCCTAAAATATATTCTGGTCACGAGATTCACCTCAAAAATTGTTTGTTGTAGTACCTCAAAATACATTCTGGACACCGGATTCATGGGAAAACTGTTTTTATTATGTTTAGCTAACTCAAACTAAGCACCTCCAGCAGATATGACTTCAAAATTTTTAGTTTTGGTAATACGATCCTGGAAGAGAAAAAGAAAGGTATTGAACTATAGGACGTATGATATATTTCATGTCAAAAAAATCCCCAAATCAAAATCCCCAAATCAAAATCCCCAAATGGGGATTTTGATTCAGGGATTGATTGTGGTAACCAATTTGGGGCAAATGATAACCTACCATCTGATTATGTCTTGTATCAGACGATTTTTCACTTGATGTGTATCATAGCAAATTTTTTCTTAGTTCTGAATTCAGTCAAGCAGTTTCTTTCCTTCTTGCATTAACTTTTTGAAAATTTGATGGATTCAAAGATCTTATATGTTTAGCTAAGAACGACTGTACATCGACAAATCGTATCTGGCTACTGGAGAGATTGTTTTTCAACAACATAGTACTATTTTGATCTATAACCTTAACATTGATGAAATACACTCATACCTGCTTGGCAACTTCAATCCTTTAAGGTTCAAGTCATTCTACTATCTTAAGAAAAGCATGTCGTCTCTCACCTATCTAGTACTTAAAAGAAGGTCCATGAGACCATCGAGCATAGTGCTAGATGTCGAAGCACTCGTCAAAATTTAATTTTTCGATTTGATATTCTCATATTGATTGGCATCATTTAAAACCTCTAAATCCAAATTTTTAGTGCATTTCATTGAGTGGCTGAAAAGTTAGCTCAATTTTACTATCGAGCACTCACGATGATATTTGGAAAATATCATCAAAAATTGTTCGCATAAAGTGGAGATGTTTTCGATGACATTAAGTTAATGAAATTTTTCATGTAATATACCAAAAGATAGAGCATTGAAAGCTAAACAAAGTTACCTATTTACAAATTATATTTCAATATGCTGATCGAGAGTTATTTCTCAAATACTGTCTAAGATTGACAATTGTTTGAGTAAAAATTGTGTCAACTATCTTCAGTATATCATGTGCTATTCAATCAATTCAAAAGATCTCATGCTAAATTTCACATATGTTGTACAATGTTTTCTCCTCTATAAAATGATTAAAAAGAAATTTAAAAAAAGCTATCTATCAAGGCGAAAAATGGCTCACAACGTTGATCAAGTGAACAGAATTTCTAAGAAAAAATTATTATGAATATTTTTTTCTAATTAAAAAAAAAAGTTTGAGTTGATTATGAACTATCTAGAGTATTCTTCACATAGGTACGGCATATTTCAATGAATATATGCTCTATTTAAAATAAAAAATCATCACTGATTATATTTTATGAAGATAAGGTCGATTAGATAATCTTGGATTGTTACAATGGCACGCAAAGAGAGATTGTGTATGAATTTCATGAACGAATCAATTGAAGTAATTTTTGTTTTCTTCTGACTTGAATTTACTCTCTGACCAAATATGATACAATAGATAGATATACGAGTTAAAAAAAAATCGGAAGGAAGAAAAAACAATTTCTATAGACATGTGCGCTTGATGCATTTCTTTTCTTTCATTTGTAAAGAATAATATCTTGTGCATGAGCTCGGGTATTCCAAGTAACACTCATAAACAAGATGGGAACACGGGTTCTCCGAGTAATTTCCCTCCTCTTCAAGCAGGATGGGCTCCACGTGCCGAAGAGGAGAAACACTGAAAAAAGTTTTACTTAACCGTGGCCAACAACCCTGCCTCCTACACTCTAAAAGAAAACGTTTTCTCAGAAACCGAAACCCCTTCGGAAACCCTTTCGGAAACTCATGAATGTATCCGGAAAGGTTTCCGAACTCATGTTAAGTTTCTGAAAATACCTTTAAGGTTTCCGAATCTTCAGAAAACCCTTGCGTTTCCAAAACAAAGCTCCGGAAACCCATGCACTATTCTCAAACACCGAAATAGCATTCGGTCGTCTTCTTTTTCATTCTCATGTTCTCATCGTTATTTTAGAGGTTTAGGAATTGCTCAACATGCATGATATAAACCTTATTCAATTTATGTGGAATTGCTATGTAAAATCATTACAACTTTGAGAATTCAAAAAAGATGCATTGTTCCTGAGAAAATTTCAACTCGTTTTTACATCTTTCAGTACCTAAAAACTTGAATGGATTATGATAAATTTTACTGTGAGAATTGCAGAGCTACATTAAATCGTCAGGTTATTCAAAGAAAGCGTTTTTCTCCTTCTTCATTCATTTATGTTTCATCCAAGTACCAGAATTATCATCCTTGTCAACAGATTGCAACGGAATATAGTACAAGTTTCAGCCGTTTGAGGATCTTTTCAACCGATCTATACAGAAGGTTCATAGGAAAGAAATGATGCAAAACACGAAGAAATCTTTATTTGCAAGAGAATGTAAAACAAATACCGGCTGTTTCGGAACGTTTGCAACATAATTTATTCTCCATGTATCTCCAGAAACGTAAATGATAAAATCTTACATTTTTTCAAAACAGGCGTCCTGATATTCTGTACGATAGTCAAAATAAAAGATCCTCTTCGCTTGTGCTAATAGATTTGGAGTAAGCTAAAATAAAAAATGTATCAAATGTTGTAGTTTCTCACTTTGATATCGATTTAAGCGCTGTAAAAAACACACATTTACTATCTAGATAAAATCATATGTACAAAAACTCATTTCTGAATACCATCATCTCGATAAAGTGAGTATCTTGACTTCGGAAATAGCCGAAAAGAATGTAAGGTCTGCGAAATGTGATTGTTGTTTAGCTAAAGAAAAAAACGAATTCTGGACAGTGAAGCACTATAGACTCTCACACAACTATGCTTTTAGCTCTCTCCAAGTCTATTAGCCCAAGTCACAAGAATTTCTGCGTTCATCTATTGTAGAGAATGCCATCACGTATCGTTTCAAAAATAAGTTTACGTTTTTATGAATCACCTGTTTGAAAACATAATCAAAGTCAAATATCTTGGAAGCTTTCTGAGAAAAAACGGTAGATATATATTTCTTCACAGCGCAAGATATGGTTTCCCCAACTGATCCACTAAAAGATCCGAGAGAAAAAAGCGAACACGAAAACTACAGTTCACTTGTAACAAAACTAAGGACACCAAAACTTCAAATGACATCAACATTCTGCCTTCGACAGCAATACGGAAACCACAAGTCAGACTGCCTTAAAGACTTTCACTTCAATACAAAAAGGCTTTCATCATTATAGGACTCCACTTGACTTCTTGACTCTGACAAAAGAACATCGCCAACTGTCAAATCGCTTTTTCAATAAAACCTACTGGGTTCTAGGCTATCGACTATGCTGATTTCGAATATGGGTCCGAGAAATCCCCTTAGGCCTTTATAGGGGGCACATTAGGTTGTTTCCTAGACTGAAAGGCTAGGAACTAGAAACGGAAATTTACCTGTGTCTGTCTGTCTGTCTGTAACACTTGGTACCAATGACCATTTTTGTGGTACAAAGTACCGAATTCGTGGTACAAGTGACCGATTTTGTGGTACAAAGTACCATAGTCATGGTGCAAGTGACCATTT